AATTATAGCAGTATAGGGCTCTGTATATTTGAAAAGTATTTCTTGGCTTCTATGAGGCACAGAGTTTAAGGCCAGGATCCTTAGAGCTATGTCAAAAACGTACAGAAGTTTGAACGTACCCACAGGAATTTTTTAATGCCACCTCCCTTTGAACAGCAGACTCCGCTGACCCCATAAGGCTATATCGCAAACAGGTTTTAAAAAGCATCTTTTTGCTTCAAAAGCCATTTCCCATGTGGTGGCTGTTTGAGGAGCTCAAGATGCTTACAGGCCCCTTTGGGTTGCAGAACTAGGTTGTGTAATCCTTCATATCTTGGCACTTTATAGCTGTGTTTGAAACTCATATATATATATATATATACAGTGGTGCCCCGCAAGACGAATGCCTCGCAAGACGGAAAAACCGCTAGACGAAAGGGTTTTCCGTTTTGAAGTTGCTTCGCAGGACGAATTCCCCTATGGGCTTGCTTCGCAAGACGAAAATACCTTGCGAGTCTTGAGATTTTTTTTCGCTTTTCCCCCTTTATCTAATCTGCTAAGCCTTTAATAGCCTTTAATAGCCTTTTAGCAGCTAATCCCTAAGCCTTTAAGCCTTTAATAGCCGCTAAACAGCTGATAGCGCTATTAGCGCTAATCCGTCAATGGGCTTGCTTCGCAAGACGAAAAAACCGCTAGACGAAGACTCTTGCGGAACGGATTAATTTCGTCTTGCGAGGCACCACTGTATATACATATATATATATATATATATGCCAAATGGCATCTGAAACCTAGATTATGGTTGCCACAGTAGAATGTCTAGGTGCCTTTTGCGGTTGGAATAATAATAATAATTATTATTAATTTCATTTCTGTACCACTTCATATTTTAAAGAAAAAATCTCCACATGGTTTACAACACATTAAAACTTCAAATAAAACAACCCAGAATAAAACAAATTCAACCTTCAAGGAAAATATTTCAGATCCTTCTCCAAGTGACATTTTGCTTTCTCCATATTTATTTACCTACTTCATTTATATAGCTACTCCATAGGAGAGGTACTCTAGGAAGATGATGTGGTGCAGTGGTTAGAGTGTCGGACTAGGACCTGGGAGATTGGGGTTCAAATCCCCATTCAGTCAGGAAGTTAACTGGGTGACCTTGGGCCAGTCACAGCCTCTTAACATAGTTGTCGTTGGGATTAACTGAGGAGGGTGTGTGTGTGTGTGTGTGTGTGTGTGTGTGTGTGTGAACCATGTCCTCCTTAGAGGAAAAGTTGGGAAATAAATGCCCGGCTTCGGCTGGGGAGGGTGGGATATAAATAAAATTTATTATTATTATTAAATAAGCTCTTCTGCTTACCTGCTTAAGAAACTTGGAGGGGCCAGCCAGATGGAGAGATGTCAGTCGCCAACCTGGCATCCAGAGATCTCCGTGTGATCATAATTAGACTCACGCCAGTAGCAAAACGCGCCTGGCTCCTGGCTAATTTCTAACACTGACTTCAAGGTGGCACACATAGTACTTCCTCCCCCACTATCCAAGCCCTGTGAAGTGGGTTGTTTGAAATACTTTTCTTCCCACTCTTTGTCCCCAAGGAGATCAGCCCATCATGACCTAAAAACAGTAATAATAATAATAATAATAATAATAATAGAAAAATGAGGAAGCATTGAGTGACAACCAAGGTTAGGTTGAGAGAGAGCGTGCACAATTGGCTCAAGGTCACCCAGTGAACTTCATGGCAGAGTAGCAATTTAAGCCCTAGTCTTGCACTCTAGTTTGGTCTTCCCCAACTTAGTCTCCTCCAGATGTTTTGGACTGAAACTCTTATCAGCCCCAGCCAGCATGGCTCATAGTCAAGGGTGATAGGAATTGATTTCCAGGAACATGGTGGGGGGAGGGACCTAGGTTGAGAGACGCTGCTCTAGATTCCGCATGCATTTAGCTATATGGATTACGGATGTGTTGGTTCCCTGTTCTATTGCTTTTGAACATGGGGGGAGGGAGATAATATGTCGGTGGCGCTGTTTCTTCGTTTTATCATTTATTGTGTAATCCATCCTAAAAATATGCATACCGAGGGACACTTTGGTTTTTATAAAATAAAATATAAGGTTTGCCAATCAGGTTTGCAAATGCTTACACGAACGTCACAGCTACATTTTCACACTGTGAAACAGGCTTGTGCATTTGCTTAGACTGGGTGTGAAACCTTGGCTTTCAGAGAATCCCACCTGCTGCGTGCTGCAATCTGTTTTGCAGCTATCCTAGGTTTGAAGTATCATTTCTCGTATCGTGTTATCCAGTGGGCTCTGTGGCCCTTTATTTATTCATTGCGCTTGCAGGTTGCCTCATCACAAAAAAGTTTCCAGGGCATTCTTGCAACATAACATGTGGCAAAAAGAAAAGAAAAGTATGCTTTCAGCATGCTAGGTTTGTGAAGTTTCTCATGTGCTGAAACCCTTTGGGCAGTTCTTCCTTCCACAGTAATGTGGATGTCTCAACCCGCTTCCAAGGGTTAGACGTTAGACACTGTGTACAGGTGAAACTCGGAAAATTAGAATATCGTGGAAAAGTTCATTTATTTCACTAATTCAACTTAAAAGGTGAAACTAATATATGAAACTAATATACTTAATGAAGCACAGTAGACCAACACCAGCTGATGACATGGCTCCCCAAATCTTTTTTCTGACGAGAGCAGCTTTTGCATCTCATTTGGAAACCAAGGACCCAGAGTCTGGAGGAAGAATGGGGAGGCACACAATGCTTAGAATCATAGAATCATAGAATCATAGAATCATAGAGTTGGAAGAGACCACAAGGGCCATCGAGTCCAACCCCCTGCCAAGCAGGAAACACCATCAGAGCACTCCTGACATATGGTTGTCAAGCCTCTGCTTAAAGACCTCCAAAGAAGGAGACTCCACCACACTCCTTGGCAGCAAATTCCACTGTCGAACAGCTCTTACTGTCAGGAAGTTCTTCCTAATGTTTAGGTGGAATCTTCTTTCTTGTAGTTTGGATCCATTGCTCCGTGTCCGCTTCTCTGGAGCAGCAGAAAACAACCTTTCTCCCTCCTCTATGTGACATCCTTTTCTATATTTGAACATGGCTATCATATCACCCCTTAACCTCCTCTTCTCCAGGCTAAACATGCCCAGCTCCCTTAGCCGTTCCTCATAAGGCATCGTTTCCAGGCCTTTGACCATTTTGGTTGCCCTCCTCTGGACACGTTCCAGTTTGTCAATGTCCTTCTTGAACTGTGGTGCCCAGAACTGGACACAGTACTCCAGGTGAGGTCTGACCAGAGCAGAATACAGTGTCACTATTACTTCCCTTGATGTATATGCTATACTCCTATTGATGCAGCCCAGAATTGCATTGGCTTTTTTAGCTGCCGCGTCACACTGTTGGCTCATGTCAAGTTTGTGGTCAACCAAGACTCCTAGATCCTTTTCACATGTACTGCTCTCAAGCCAGGTGTCCCCCATCTTGTATTTGTGTCTCTCATTTTTTTTGCCCTAGTGCAATACTTTACATTTCTCCCTGTTAAAATTAATCTTGTTTGTTTTGGCCCAGTTCTCTAATCTGTCAAGGTCGTTTTGAAGTGTGATCCTGTCCTCTGGGGTGTTAGCCACCCCTCCCAATTTGGTGTCATCTGCAAATTTGATCAGGATGCCCTTGAGTCCATCATCCAAGTCGTTGATAAAGATGTTGAATAAGACCGGGCCCAAGACAGAACCCTGTGGCACCCCACTAGTCACTCTTCTCCAGGATGAAGAGGAACCATTGATGAGCACCCTTTGGGTTCGGTCAGTCAGCCAGTTACAAATCCACTGAGTGGTAGCATAGTCAAGACCACATTTTACCAGCTTCTTTACAAGAATATCATGAGGCACCTTGTCAAATGCCTTGCTGAAATCAAGGTAGGCTACATCCACTGCGTTCCCTTCATCTACCAGGCTTGTAATTCTGTCAAAAACGAGATCAGGTTAGTCTGACATGACTTATTTTTCAGAAATCCATGCTGACTATTGGTGATCACAGCATTCCTTTCTAGGTGCTCACAGACTGTTTGCTTAATGATCTGCTCCAGAATCTTCCCTGGTATTGATGTCAGACTGACTGGGCGGTAATTATTTGGGTCCTCTCTTTTCCCCTTTTTGAAAATAGGGACAACATTTGCTTGAAGTCCAGCGTGAAGTTTCCACAGTCTGTGTTGATTTGGGGAGCCATGTCATCAGCTGGTGTTGGTCCACTGTGCTTCATTAAGTCCAGGGTCAACACAGCCATCTACAAGGAGATTTTGGAGCACTTCATGCTTCCTTCAGCAGACAAGCTTTATGGGGATGCTGACTTCATTTTCCAGCAGGACTTTGGCACCTGCCCGCTCTGCCAAAAGTACCAAAACCTGGTTCAGTGCCCATGAAATTACTGTGCTTGATTGGCCAGCAAACTCGCATGAGCTGAACCCCATAGACAATCTATGGGGCATTGCCAAGAAAAAGATGAGAGACATGAGACCGAGCAATGCAGAAGAGCTGAAGGCTGCTATTGAAGCTTCCTGGTCTTCCATAACACCGCAGCAGTGCCACAGGCTGATAGCATCCATGCCACGCCGCATTGAGGCAGTAATTGATACAAAAGGGGCCCAAACCAAGTACTGAGTACATATGCATGCTTCTACTTCTCAGAGGTCCAGTATTGCTCTATTTGCAGTCCTTGTTTTGCTCATTTCATTTAATATTCTAATTTTCTGAGATTGTTAATTTGGGGTTTTCATCAGCTGTACGCCATGATCATCACAATTAAAACAAACAAAGGCTTGTCGTATCTCGCTTTGCATGTCATGACTCTATCTCATATATTAGTTTCACCTTTTAAGTTGAATTACTGAAATAAATGAACTTTTCCACGATACTCTAATTTTCCGAGTTTTAACTGTATATAGCCGAGCTAAGTGACATTGCCTCTGTGGTATGGATGTACTCCCGTCCTCTTCAGCGAGAAAGGGTTCATCAGCTCAGTTGGTAGAGCATGAGACTCTTCATCTCAGGGTTGTGGGTTCAAGACCACGTTGGGCAAAAGATCAGGGCAAAAGATTATTGCATTGCAAGGGGTGGGATTAGATTAACCTTGTGGTCTGTTCCAACTCTACAGTTCTGTGATTCTATGGCACAGTGTTAATTGGGCTTTTAGCAATGTGGGTCGATCTTCATTTGATATGGCACAAATCGGGGGGGGGGGGAAATCTCAGCCTCATTTTTGTGTATAAGAAAGGCTACCTGACTTAGTGAAATCCTATTATTATTATTATTATTATTATTATTATTATTGATGATAATACTAATTATTAGATTTTTAAAGAAATGAAATACTGCACAAGACCAGTTTCATACACAAACACATTCAAACACACACTTGTTCTTATCCAGCCTCTACCAGCAGGTCCCAGGGAGGGTTGCAGCATTTTATAATGCAGTAATAAAAATAGTTAAAGCAAATTACAGTCGCAGGAATCATGCTATTATATAAAATATTAGTCACCTATAATCCCAAAAAAACATAATAGCGTATCTGCAATGAGAAGGATGTCCCATTGGGTTCACTGAGACTTAACTCCCATGTAAATTGCTATTACGACTGCAGCCTTAGGTAGCATTCCTACAGCAAGGATCCCTGTTGGGATGAGTGGCTTAGGATCCAGTGGATCTCCTGGCACAGCTGAGCGACATTGGCTTAACTCCTGCACCTTCAGCTCAGCCGGACACAGAATCAAAAAATGCCAGCCTAACTCTTCCCTCCCAGCTGAGCTTGGTGGATGTTGAGTGTAACTTTATGCTGGCTTAATTTGCACTGGCTTGCTCTAAGGCGGTGGCTTGTGTATAGGATTTCTCCCTCAATGACGGAGCGCCTTTTGAATTTTTTGCAAATTGGCTTTGGACAGTTTTGTTATTGATGATGTTTGTGGGTGGGCATGGGAGAAGCAGCTCATAGCCTATGCACAGGAATGTGATCTGGTGGCCTGAGAAAGTCAAAAGCAATGGCATCCCTTTATTTCTGGAACTGATTGTTTACTTCTGGTTATGGCCTGAATAATTGGACTGGGAGGGGATGGGAAAGCCCCATTAGGGGTGTGCAAATATTGCAGGACTGTCCAAATTCCTAGGACCGGTGTTGTTTTGCTTTTCAGTACGTGGACAGTTTGTGAAGCAGCATTAACTAATAACAGCCTTACTGTGGCTACTATTTTGGGTTTCTGGGAGCAGACTTGATTTATGGATTGAAACTCAGTTTATATGGATTGAAATATGAGCTGCTCAGAAGGGATGCATTATTGCACAGAGCAGACTGTGGCTAAAAGGAGACTTACAAAGAAAAGCTGCATTGCTTTCTTCTCTGGTATATGGCATTAGCCGCCATTACATCGGCTGCCTGTGTAAATATACCTCTGGATTTCTGTTTTTTATATGCTCAGATGTAAAAGCTTCTGTTGTGAAATTTAATGGAGAGGTAGCAGGAAAATGTAGCAAATAACCCCTGTGATTAGGTAGACAGGCCTTAACGCCTCCTGATGACTAGAATAGCTAGTTCATTTCTCCACCACTATCATTCTCCTGAGGAGAAATAGAAGGTGAAAAAATGGAATAAAAATACATTTTAGGTTAAAAGTTGTTGCCACCATAAGTATTTGTTCTCCAGAGCTTATCTTATATGTACTTTTTTCTTGTGTGTCAAAATCAAAAGCTTGTGGTATTTACATTAAATTAAAAACTATGTTTTCCAAAGATCATTATTACATGGGAGTCAGGTTTTGCTCTGCAAAATATCTTTGGTGATTTGTGCTGCTGGACGTTGTCCCTTAAAACTGTGTCATATCATTTGCATACAATTGGTTCAGCTGGTGCAGTCTAACTCGAATGATTCCTCATTTCCTTTCATCAGGTCTGCCCTGAAACTGAGATGCAGGAGATGACTTGCATATTCTCACCTTTACCCACTGAGTTAGAAACCTTATTTTTGTAACAATTAAATAATTTGGCAAACTCGGGCGGTTTCTTTGTGAGAGCCGCAATGAACTGGAATCTGTCTGTTCTTTTATTGCCATTAAGGACATTGGGACTTCGTTCCGCTAGCAACCTGGAACGATATTTCTCCTTCATGTCCTGTGGAAGAGCAGAAACCAAGCAAATAACCTGTTCACTCTTCGGTTGTGTTTGGAAGTAGCAACAAGCATGGTTTAATGTTCAGTGGTCCAAATCTTGGACTTGTGTACTCCTCCCTCCTTAATAAATGTTGTTGTTGTTTAGTTGTTTAGTTGTGTCCGATTCTTCGTGACCCCATGGACCAAAGCACGCCAGGCACTTCTGTCTTCCACTGCCTCCTGCAGTTTGGTCGGACTCACGTTTGTAGCTTCGAGAACGCTGTCCAACCATCTCATCCTCTGTCGTCCCCTTCTTGTGCCCTCAATCTTTCCCAACATCAGGGTCTTTCCCAGGGAGTCTTCTCTTCTCATGAGGTGGCCAAAGTATTGGAGCCTCAGCTTCACGATCTGTCCTTCCAGTGAGCACTCAGGGCTGATTTCCTTAAGAATGAATGTGTTTGATCTTCTTGCAGTCCATGGGACTATCAAGAGTCTCCTCCAGCACCATAATCTGAAAGCATCAATTCTTCGGCGATCAGCCTTCTTTATGGTCCAGCTCTCACTTCCATACATCACTACTGGGAAAACCATGGCTTTAACTATACGGACCTTTGTTGGTAAGGTGATGTCTCTGCTTTTTAATAAGGCTTAATAAATAAAAATCCATGCTATAGCAGCAACAGTCACGTGGACAGAGAAATCAGCCCATTGAGGTCTCAAGTATTTAAAAATCATGCCCACCTCATTTGTGTGATTCTACTGCCACACTCACATGCACATGTCTAATATTGTGGCCACGAAGTTTATAACCACCCAGAGTCAATAATGCCACAGTGCCTGGCTGCATGTCCTCTCCTGGCACATGACAGACTATTTCATAATCACAGGGGTCGTATTTGTCCCCTACTCCGGTGCAGCCATGGAGAAATCTGGGGCTTCTCCTTCCATTTTCGATGAACCCAATGTGTCACTTGAACCCTCAATCAGGTTTAACTATGGTTAGTTGAAACAAACCAGCTTCGTAAACGATGGCTTGATGTTTTCATGCTTCAAGAAACCGCAGTTAAAGATTAGCCACAAGTTTGTGTGGGTTTGGGCAACACAGCAAGCTGCAGTTAAGACAAAATGGAAGTGAGTTTGAATGCCTCCTAGCAGCTGTTCTGGAGGAAGAGGAGGAGACAGGAGACTGCACATGGCTGAGGCTCCCTGTAGCTCCCTCTCATTACATCTGAATGAGGCCATTACTTTTCAGGGGGGAGTATCACACCATTTCTTTTATGTTCCTCTGTGTGTGTATGTATAAACATGGTTTGCCCATCAGCATATCAATTGCCTGTTTCTCGTGCATATATATGTAGATGTTACAGTGAGTGCTCAAAAATGGATGAATGTTGTTGTTCACACATGAATGCAGGCAATCCCAGACAAATTTTGCAAATGTCTGACATTTCAGAAACATGCTGGTAGATGCTGGCAGGCACCTAGATGCTGATTGTCAGCATTTGCTTTTCATGTCCCAAAAGTGAGACAATAGTTTCTCTCCAGGCACAGCATAATTCATCTGGGGTGAGTCTTAATATTTGCACATAAATCCAATATTCGTCAAATTTTGGACACTCACTGTAAGATACATTATTCATTCAGAACCTATTTGGTTATGCTAGAGATAAATTGGTAATCGACAAATTCAAGACCTTTTTTGATTTTTTAAAAACTAAGGACCAGTTTACATTTTGCAAGAAGGCCGGACTCAATGTGGTCTCAAAGCAGCCTGAGAATGGATAGCTTTGTACTTTCTCAATGGCAATTGTAGTCGTATGTTCATCTACCGTGAACAATGGAATCTGCCACTATATCAGTACACAAACAGCAGTTCTCCATAGTAACCTGACCCTCTTGGGTAAAATATCACGGAGCCCTTTGAGAACATGCAAATTGTCCCCAAACCATGGTTTGTAGTTTGTGGATTACGGTTTGTGGGTTATGTTGTAGTCTCTGAAGACATTTACTGTCTATGTTATAGACATTTGCCACAATCTATTTATCTAGGCAAATTTCTTAATATTTTCATTTCTTTTTGTTTCTTGTATTTTTTAAAATATTTTGACTGACAGTGTATATATATCGCTTGCCTCAAAAAAGAGTCGTTTCAGGTTTTAGAATATAACCATTCATTAATTTAGCGTCAGGTTAATTAAAGCAACCTATCTGTAGACTGTACTACTTTTAAAAAATAAGTGTGCTCTTTTATCTTACTGCAACACATTTTCTGTACTGCGTATAAAGACACTTTGTTTCTAGAATTTCAGACTTCCATGTGCCAGAAGTTAAATAGAGTCTTAAGTTTTGTTTGCTTAGCTCACTGAGAATAACAAAGTAATAAGTCACATGCCTTAGATCTGCCATAGATTTGACAAAGTAATATCAACATTTGGACGGTGTCCCTGTCGTTTTCCCGAAAGATAAATAAAATATTATTAAAAATGTAGCCTAAGTGCCCTTGTTAATCCTGTGCTGAGTTGACCTCAAAAGAGTTTTGATGGGAGTGTAGCACATTGCTGAGCCTAAGTCTGTATGCCCTTCTGCTGGCAATGATGGTCAACAGGTTTTTGTCTCTTGTAAATGTAACTCCCAACTCATCAGCACATTTGCCTAGAGAAATGGGTGTGGAACCTGCATCCCTCCAGATGTGGTTGGAGCCCCAGTGCCAATCAACCTCAGTCAGCACGCCCAATGGGTAGAGATGATGACAGCTGCAGTCCCACCAACATCTGGAGAACCACAGACTCACCACTCCCTGGCTAATCCCCATGGGGATTTCAGGGGAAAGCCCTTTGTGATTTCACTGATTAACCTGTGCTTAATTTTCCTTTAGAAAATTACAGTTGTTTCATGTTCTGCTAAATATGGAAGAACACAACCAGATGTAAGCCTGAGCTCCTCAGAGT